GTACCAATGGGACTTTAGTCGATCGCGAGTCTCACATCAGCTACCCGCGTCTGGATTGCTCTTCCCCCACAGAAGGTCGATCACAATGTGTTTTGCTGGAAAAGTTGTTTGTTTCCAAAAAGGTCTAACACACGGTGGAAGCCCCAAAGATGCCAAAAACATCCTCATGCGCGAATGCTCTGATTCACACACAACACATACGGAATGTTTTAGCAAGGGGTCTTCATCATGGGTAAGCTCGTTGTAACCCCTTATAGATAGTAGCCAAAACCAATTGACGTTTGGTTCTACATTGTTGTAATATTAAAAATACTTGAGAAGGGGAGACACGAAAAGTAGGATACCGTAAAGTGGTCCCCCCAATGTGTCGTAAAGTGGCTTCCCAGAATCGGAGTCGGAGTGAGATACTTTCCGGAAGTTGGGGAGCCACTCAGTGTCAAGCAATGCCATGCTGATGTTTTCCGAAAGGGATGCACATTTTCAACACGTGTAATTATGCCCTCACTTGACCACAAAAACAGGGGTCTCTATTTTTCCCCCTTTGTGGTTTTGAACATCCTCTTTGAGGATCGTTTAGAGTAAGTTTCCTTTGAGTCGAGTGATGTGCGTTAAGGGAACCATGCGTGTGTGTTTCTGTTTGTGCCCGTGTCCGTGTCTCTGTTTGCGTGCTTTTGATGGCACCATGTTTACCTTGGTTTGAAGGGAAACCACAAGAAAACCCACAATCTGTTGGGTGCCCCTATGCAGGCCCCCCCCACACGGGAATCCTGGCACATCCATGGATTGGCAGGTTTCGCAGGGGGCCCTCGCCCGCTCCCGCGCTTTTTGAGCCGGGCGCCAAGAATCTGATTTCAATCGAATCGAGCGTGCCACTTTTTAAAGGCCCCCCTCCCCCTGGGTATGATGGACACTTTGGGTCTATTTTGCAGCCTCCTTCATTTAGGGTACAGTATTGGTTTTCAGGATTCCTGGCTGCAAAATAGACTCCAGGTGTCCCCCAATCCCAATAACAAGTAAGGCTCTTTTTTGGGGCCAAGAGCGTTCCTGTTTTGAGTGTCTTTTTTGGGGTCTCGGAGGGAAAACCCACAAGGCCCTAGAGGTTGGCCCTATTCCTGAAGACCTGGTTAGGGAACAGTCCCAACTGTCAATTGGTGAGGATATGTGCCCCCGATTCGTGCAATGGAAGGGTACTGGTAGGGGTTGGTCATTTCCAGCCAGCAACAACACGTGGGTGGGGGGGTTCAACTCAAGCAGGATTTGGAGTCCCCTTCTTTTGGATGATGTGTTTTCGGGGTATTTAGGGACCAGTAGGCACCCCAAATGAACTATTATGGGCAGCCAGGCAGTAAAACACACTTCCCGAAAAGCCACAAACAGCACAAACATTTGACACATTGCACCAACCCGCAATTACAGAACTTCCTAAAAGCGCTGCATGTCAAGAGTCCCCCCAAAGCACACAACACCACAACTCTCAAAACTGCCAGCGCTGCCAGCAAAGGAATCCACACGCAACAGGGAATCCTGAAATTGTTGAAACTCGAACATCTCGAAACTGCGCAAATATGTTTAGCAATATGAAACCGTTAAACTTCAGATTGGGCAAATGATGTACCAGTTGGACCTAGAGCCGATCGTGGACAACATATGTCTATCACGACACCGGCCTGTTAAAGCCGGGCGAAAGATAGCTCACGAACACGCTCGATCAGGCTGTTTGAAAGGGCCGCTTTGCCAAAGCTGCAGCTTAGCATTAAATCTCCAAACCCACTGGTGGACATGCCAACTCCGCTTCTAATCATAGCATGCTAGCCACGTGGCAGACTCAAAGTCTGTGCAACTCGATCCAGTCCCCAAAATCTGGCAATTGGCTTCGTAAGCTTCGGCCAGTTCGCTGTCGCCTTCGCTTCTTCACAATCGATTCCTTTCAATGCTCATGCGGTTCGTTCCTTGGATCCCCGGGTTATGCTCGCTTCTCATGGGCCGTGGGTGCTGTTGCCCCTGTTGGGATTGGGGGCTGTGCCAGGGGACCCGTGACCGAGGCTGGTCACGTAAGCCGCTGTTTGGCGCAACGCCTGAGAGCCACGCCATTGGTGAGGGCCAAGGCTACGGAGACAAAGACCTTTCCATCTTTTGTTCGAGAAAAAAACAACGACAATTATCTAGAACCTATATATATATATATATCAGTTTGATTTATAGATAATTTGAAATTCAATAATTTTGAAATTTATAATTCTTTGAATATACAAAAATATTAATATGTATAATATAATTTTGAAATTTCTAATTATTTGAAATATTATTTTTTATGATAGATATTATAATTTGAATTTATATGTCTTTATGTTTTTTTTTTTTTTTTTTTTTTTTTTTTTAAAGATATTACGATTAAATTTGAATTTAAATAATATATCAGAATCTTTATTTGAAATTGATTTTTTTAATACATATATATATATATTGAATTGACTATAAGAAATAATTGGAGATTTATATAGATTAGACAACATATAATTTTGTAAATTTATTATACATATTCTATTCTATTTGATGTTTATGGTATAATATAATTATATTTAGATATATTTAAACATAATGTATTTGATTTTTATATTTATATATATTTATAATTATTTGTAATTATAGTTATATTTAAGATGGTTGGGTAATTTTAAATAAATTAAATATATTTATAAGAACACTCAAATAGTATCTTAATTGAATTTAGTTTGATATATTTTAACATTGACAATTAGAAACTTAATGTGTGTTTAAGAAAACAAATAATAATTTTATAACTATATTATACTAGAGAGAACCCGTTAATTCCATCAACGGCAATGCCAACCAAAAAATCAAACAGGAAGGACAAAAGAGAGAGAAAGAGAGAGAGAGAGAGAGAAAAGAGAACAAGAAAGAGACAAAGGAAAAGAGAAAAATAATGAGAAAAACAAAAGGGAAAGGGAAAGAAACAATAAGAACAATAACGAGAAAAAGCGAGAAACAACATAGAGAAAAAAAGAGAAAAGAGAAAAAGAGAAAGAGACAGAGAAAAAAAGAGAGAGGAAAGAGAAAAGGAAAGAGAGAGAGAGAGAGAGAGAGAGAGAGAGAAAGAGAAAGAGAAAGAGAAAGAGAAAGAGAGAGAAAGAAAGAAAGAGAGAGAGAGAGAGAGAGAAAGAAAGAAGGAAAGAGAGAGAGAGAGAGAGATAGAGAAAGACAGAATAAAAGAGAGAAAGAAAGAGAAAGAGAGAGAGAGAGAGAGAGACCCATGGCAGGAGGAGTTGCTGCTAGCGAAGATGCCCGAAGATGCCTCCGGTCCGGGAGAGACTAGTCGATGCCCCAACAGGACTTAGGCAAGCTGTCCCTCATCCTGTGGGCGAGAGAGAAAGAGAAAGAGAGAAAGAGAGAGAAAGAGAGAGAGAAAGAGAGAGAAAGAGAGAGAAAGAGAGAGAAAGAGAGAGAAAGAGAGAGAAAGAGAGAGAAAGAGAGAGAAAGAGAGATATTTTTTTTTCTCTCTTTTTCTCTCAGAGAGAAAGGGAGAGAGAGAGAGAGAGAGAGACAGAGAGAGAAAGAGAGAGAGAGAGAGAGAAAGAAAGAGAGAGAGAGAGAGAAAGAGAGAGAAAGAGAGAGAAAGAGAGAGAGAAAGAGAAAAAAAGAGAGAGAGAAAGATAGAGAGAGAGAGAAAGACAGAGAGAGAGAAAGAGAGAGAAAGAGAGAGAGAAAGATAGAGAGAGAAAGAGAGAGAGAAAGAGAGAGAAAGAGAGAGAAAGAGAGAGAAAGAGAGAGAAAGAGAGAGAAAGAGAGAGAAAGAGAGAGAAAGAGAGAGAAAGAGAGCAAGAAATTGTAGAAACAATCAGAAACGAAAAGAAAGACAGAACGAAAGGAAGAAAGCGGAACTTGAAAGGGGGAGAAAACGGAACTTGAAAGGGGGAGATATGGAGGTTGATAAAAAGGTCTTTGCAAGGAGTTATATATTCGGTGACTATTCGTCTTGGCTTAAATCCCTCCGCGAAAGATCGGCGATGGAATTCGCGAAAGAAACTTATTTTTTCGCGAAAGATTCCGCGTTGAATTCTTGGAGGCCTGCCTGTGCACTTGCATATTTGCAGACCCCGCTCCCTTGTAGAGAGGGAGATACGCAGCACCTACACTTGCATTATTGATACCCTGCCTGTGTTGGGATTGGTGTAAATCAATAACGTTGGCTGGGCTATTTTGGAGTAAGTTTCGCGAAAGATCCGCGAAAGACCGGCGAAAGACCAGGGAGCTTGTTGTAAGGTTCCGCACATCGCCGGCAACCGCAAGTGACAAGGGCGAACGACGGTGACTGCCTATACTTGACACTGCATACTGCACGCAAGTGAACTACGACTACCGTGTTTGCAAGCACAACTATAACAGCCATAATGGCTCCAGAGCGCACGCTGCAAACAAAAGGGCGTGGCGATGGAGTCGCGAAAGATTCGTGTTTTTTTTTTTCCTTCGCAAAGATGGTGTTTTCCGGAAATAGGAATATTGATCAACTGCCAATATGGCACGCGGCAATGCGGAAATGTGTTATTTTTGTGATTCGACCCGTAGAAATAAGCATAGATAGACAGAAAGATAAAGATAGAGATAGATATAGATAATTATGATGAAATAGATCGATACGGATACACGGAAATAGATAGAGAGAGACAAAAAGGTACAAAGAAATAGAGATGAACGACAGATATATAGACATAGAGATAAACAGAGACATACCGAGATAGTTCGAGAGATAGACAGAGATAGAGAGACACAGATAGATAGATAGAGACAGAGAGGTGCAAATATTGAAAAGAAATAGATTGGGATATACAGAGATATATAAAGATAGACGGAGAAAAACAGAGATTACGAAACAGATAGATACGGACACACGGAAATAGATTGGGAGACACAGAGAGAGACAAGGATACGGAGACACCCGACACGAAATTTTAGAGAATTTTTTCGATTCGGATAGGTCCCCCAAGTTCCCCGAAATTTGGCTCGGTAATCTTTTCGAAAAGCCACTAAATTCTGAAGAAATTTACGAGGATAATATCCGGAAACCTAAGAGCCGGGTTTTCGGAAACGATCCAAATTCGGGAAATTTTGGCCGGGTTTCGCCGCGGGAATTCTAAACAAAATTGTTAAGAACCCCTCGAAATTTCGGCAAAAATTTGGGGCTTTCCGGGTCGCGCGAAGAGGCGGGAGTTTGTATCACGAAGAAAAGACCGGGAGAAGCATAACCGTTCGCCGCAAACACTACGATTCGGCCGGAGTACCGCTGTAACAGTTTGTCGGTGCACGGGAAATGCGACCTCGAGGCCGTACCGATTTATATATTATATTATTGATTTCTTAATATTTTTTTTGTTTATATTTTTCTTAATACTTAAGATCCCACTTAGATGGGTTCCGTGATGATCCCGGGCGGAAATTCTACGAGGACTATGGGGGGTCTGAGATACTTACCCAGGTTCTATAAGGATTTTATGAAATTTTAGCGGGGCTTATATTGTTGGGAATATCACCTGAATGTATTTATTTTATTCCTCGTAGGATGATACGAATATTATACAGAATTCCATATATTGTTCGGGTTATCTGGATTTTATTTGGTGAAATAACAATCTTTATCGATAACAAAAAAGAATATTTTGGAATTTGGGAAAATCCAGAAAATCGAGATCTTTTGATTTCTTATTTATTATTTTTATTCAAATCAAACATATTTGTATCGATACTTTGTGTTTTGCCTCGAATTGTGTTATATGTTGTTTCGACGATATTAGTGTTTTATATATATTTATTATCATAATTAAAAATATATTTATTTAAATTGATTGAAATTATATATTTCAATAATTGTTTATAATTTTTTGAATATATTATTAAATCGTTAAATATTTTTAATTTTGCAGAATAGATAAAATAGAGGAAAAAAGGGAAATGTTTAGTATATCTTTTTAACTAGATTGTTTATATAGATTTCTGTTATTTATCGAATATTTTCAATGCCGCTTGGTGTAATTACCGAGTCTCATCAAGTATGGCTCGTTTATATTGGCGAAATTTGGTATAATTTGGTATAATTTGACGAAATTTGCGAAACTTGACCGAATTAATCGAATTTTATGAAAATTTAGTATAATTCGACGATTTTTAACGAAATTTTGCCATATTCAATATAATTCGATTTTCCAATATATTTTCCTTTTTATTTATTTAATTTTCCTTAATTTTGTTAGTAGGCTTAAATATGTAATTTGTTTGATACTGCCGTCATTTTTCTTTTTATTTATTAGGAGATAAAACATCTTGAATCTAAAAATCCTTAAACATGGAATATCTTTTAGAAAAGGCAAATTTTATATTAAGATCCATTTTTTTGATAAAACAACGACATAATTTAAAAATCATATAATTCTTATCAAAATTGAATTTGGGAGGTATGTTTTTAAAGATTGTCATAGATGATTCATATAATAATCATTTTTTGAAAAGAGAATGTTTGCCGCTAGAACACACTATATCATTTGATCGGCATCGACGGTTTAATTGTGATTTGGCAATCTTTGCTGTTTGCAGCTGCCCTTCAGCAGCAATGTACGAAAGAGGACTCAACCGTTATGAATAGAAAGATATTATTGGATCTAACTAGTAGTGGAATTGATATCCAGACATAAAAATGGATTATTTCACCTATATGTTTGGACACTAAATACATATTAGACTGAATTTTTAAATATTTTTTTATCATTATATTTACCTCAACTTAGCTCAAAACGGGGGTGTCTTAGACAAATTATTTAACCTGTTGGTCTACGTGCACTTTCTGTTTATGATATTTTATATGCAGACATACATCCATACCTCACACGGGGTTTTAAACACAGAAAAAATACGGATAGGCGAGCGTCCCCTTAGTCCCCCTAATTTTTGCATATATGCCGCACCATGATTTCTTCCTTCTAAATCTATCCAATCTTGATAATATAAGCTTACATGGTAAACCCCAAAAAGAACAAAATCAAAAAGGATATAATTTTGGGAACGATTTATAAATTTACGAGGAGCCAAAAACGAATCTATTTTTTGTACTAGCCGCAAAAGGGAAAAACAAACAGGCCATAGGAAAAAATAATTGTCGAGATTAAGACAAACATAATTATGCACTTTAACATTAAACGAATTCAAAAAAAAAGAATGTATAATATATATATATATATATATGGTTTTTTCTCCAATTTTCGATTATTAAATATCGATAATATATTATTTCTTTCTAAAATGATGATTTATATTCCGAATTTTTAATATATAATTATTTCATCGATAATATATATATATATATATGTTTCTATATATATATATATTATTTATATTTTATATATATATATATACATATTATATATATATATATCGAGACTTTTCTCTTTTATATATAGAATATCATAATATTCTAAATCTTTATATATGTAATATAGATTATATCAATTGTCATAAATCCTAAATTTAATCGAATTATTTTTATCTTAACAACAATAAATATATTATAAATAAATTTAAATATCCAAATATATATATTATATATACATAATAAAACCATTAATAAGAATAATTTCGGTCTTTATATATATATAAATGCATATTATATTCATATATATTTTTAGATGTATATAATTATATTTTAAATTTATTTCCATATTATATATATATTATGTGTTTTAATTTATTTAAATATATATATTTTTTCTACTTAGTATATGTTCTAGGACGTGGACCCCCCCCCCCCCCCCCCCCCCCCTGTGGGGGTGGGGTGGGTGGTGGGGTGGTGGGGTGGTGTGGTTGGGTGGTTGGGGTGTGGTTCGGAGTTGGTTTAGGCTTGGTGGGTTGGTTTAGGGTTGGTTCAGGGTTGGTTCAGGGTTGGTTCAGGGTTGGTTCAGGGTTGGTTCAGGGTTGGTTCAGGGTTGGTTTGCGGTGGGTTTCGGGTGGGTTTGGGGTTTGGGTTGATTTAGGCTTAGGGTTGGGGTAAGGAGGGGTTGTAGGGTGGTTTGGTTTAGGGTAGGATATTGCGAGAGGTGCGGGGGTGTTGGTTCACGGGGTGAAAGAAGGAATCTGGGACCGAAGCTGCAGGGCTCACACGGTACTGCACAACATCCCCAACATTGCCAGCATCATCCCCAAGATACGGATGATACGGGGGAGTGGGGGGACCATACCATGGGGGGGGGGGTACGTGGCCCAGGAACTGGTACATATATATATATATATATATTTGATAATATTAATATGATATATAAAACATATAATATATATATATAATATAAATAATTCATTTTTAATATTTGTTTGTTTTTTTTAATACAATTTAATTTCATTTACTTATAATATTTTAAATCTATATAATTCATAAAATCAAAATACAATTCAGAAAACAATAATAAAACACAAACAACACATAACTTGAGAGAAGACCACGAAAGCTAGCGCTGTTGTCGATCCTTAAATTTCCGGAAGGGTTGTAACAAAATGCTCACCCACCGAGCGAAAAACGACCTATAAACATCCTCAAGGGTTACAGCAAAACATGCGTCCACTCACAAGCGACCCGCTCGGTGGTAGAAGAATATCCACGGAATGCATCTCAACACGAGACGACTGTACCTACGCGCGAACCAACAAGTTGACGTATCGACCCTTAAATTTCCTTAAGGGTTGCAACAAAATGCGGATTGGGGGAAACAAAGGCACATTGAACACGGCTAAGGCCCCGCAGTGACAGAGCCATGGCTCGCCGATGTTCATGTCGTGCATTCTTCTTGTCGAGAAAAACAGTCCTAAACATAGAGTAAAAGCATGTAAAAGTCACCGCGCGGGACCGGAACTAGTTAGCAACGCAAACGGCATAACCAACACAATGGCTTCCATCTGGCTATGCAACACACCCCCCTCCCCTAACCCGAAAATACCACGAAAAATGAAATCCAAATGCATAATTACAGTCTTGATGTAAAACAAAAATTCGAGCTAGGTCCTCAAGCCGTCACACACGCACAGAGACACACAGAGCTATTTAGCAGCGCAAACGGCATAGCCAATACAATAGCGTCCATCTACCCGAAAATACCGCGAAAAATGAAACCCAAATGCATAACTGCAATCTCGATATAATTTTCTAATTAACGATTTCTGCTCCAAGCCAACCATCCTCCATAATTGAAATTGAATAGCAAGCATTACTACCACGTACATTGTTCCGGATATGCGGATTCATAATCACAAAATTACTAGATTATCCTTCTACATAACCTACAATAATGCCATATTTTCCCCATTCTTTTCAAATAATACTCCTTTCAATTTCAACCAACAACTAACAACCAACGAAGAAAAGAAAATTCGACCGAGGCTCTCAAGCCATCACATACTTATCTAAATATACAAAACTAGCTAGCAACACAAACGACAACAACGTCCATCTAATTATAATATACCCCCCCCCCAAACCCAAAAATATGTATATATTCTCTCGTTCATACTCATATTCATATAACCGCAAGATAAGCGCACAAATACGCTACAAACGGTCCAACATCCCCCCCCCCCCCCAAACGAACCCTCAATTCCAGCTTAAAGAATCCGAACAAAAAATTATCTAAATCATTCAACATTTTAAAAAGAGAGAACAACCTCCCACCCCTATCCTAATATGTTTTAAACAATCAATTCTAAACGCTTAACTCCACCTTTCGACCCAATCCTCTCAACAAAACTAAAATACAAAAAAATACAACTTAACTCCAAAAAACTAACTTTTGTAAATACATAAAATCAATTATATCTAAAATTCATCAATCAATAAAATATTCAAAATCATAAAATCAACCACCAAAAAAATACAATTCTATAAAATAATTTCAATAAATTAAAAAATAGAATCATTCAAATATATATATATATATATTTCTAACACATTTATTTCATTATTATTCAATTTCCTATCCAACCTAAATTAAAATCAATAAGCCATAATTTATCATAACATTTAATATTTATCATTCTATTATTATTTAAATCTATTATACTATTTGTATAGAAATATAATCAATGAATATTACTAAACATAATATATTGTTTTTGCTTTTTTCTTTTCTTTTTTACTATTACAAATCACTTGATTCAGTGGACACGTGGAAACCGTGGAACCCGAGCAACCGTGTGGACATGAAGACCGTGGACACAGTGCTCCGTGCCGCGTGTTGGAAACTATCAGAATTTCTCGTTGTGAAAGCATCGACATCCCGCGGTGTAAACAGACCCGCTTCCCCCCAACGCAAATCCATGGGTGCGTCAGCTCATGGCACCCAAAGAGCTTGTAGCTGCTGCGAACCTTGTGAAATGTGGCTAAGTGCTGAAAGAGCCATAGACCCCCAACCAATATCTACACGCATATCTGTATCATACAGGTATACTCACACTGAGTGGGGCGACGTTTGTCTCTTACAATTCCCCACATTTCTGATCGGTCGCACCGGGCTCTGGATCAAAGCTTCGGTTGCCATGGACTCTATGGCCTGAAGCCAGGATCCGGGCTGGAAGCGCAGGTTCCCATCGCTCAATCGAGTCATCATCAAAACCCGGTAGTAAAATGGTAATCCCAGAACCATGTAAAGAATCAAGAGGGCGGGTTTCCGCAGCTATTTGTGGCTGGGTTTTGTCTCTTACTAACCTTCTTCTATACCTGGGTGTTTGTTCACTCAGAGGGAAACTCTCAGAAAACTCTGTCAGGTACAAGAGAAAGTGGGCGAAAGTTGGTCTATCCGGGCTAGCCCTTGCCCTCTTTGGCAAAGCGGTGCTTGGCTTCGAACTGTTCCCTGACGCAAAAAATAGGGCAAGCAGTGGGCCATAAACCCTTCAAGGACGCTTTAAAGTTGGAACTCTGAACGATGGGAAAGCTGCTGGCAAGGCCGAAGGGGGTACACCAACACCTAAAATGCGCAAGACTTGGACCCATGGCCATAGTCCGGTGAAGCGCTCTTGCGAAGCCGAAGATCATCCGGGCGCCTGCGCCAAAGGGGTGTCCAAGCAAGCTTTTGTGGTTGACTTATTCTGGCTGCTGCACGGAAGAGCAACGTCAGACCAAGCACTTGGAGATGTCGATTTGTTTCACTGACTTACGAATGCTTACCTGGGACACATGGAAGGGGGAACGATAGCTTGAACAAGAATGGGACACAGGGAAGGGGAACGATAGCTTGAACAAGAAATGCAGTGGCAAGGGGTTGTCCCTGCCCCGTGTTCAATTCCGCACACAAGCCATGACTTGTTTGACCCGACAACAAACTCATGCAATATTGAATTAAGATTCCATCCTGCAAATGGGTAGCTGGGATTCTGCGCACGCAAACATAAGATATACCATCCTCCCACTAACATGGCACCCGTGGGAGGGACCTGGACGATGAGTTTCCTTTTGGAGCGACCCCTGTCAGGTGCCGTGTTAGTGGGAGAGATGGTAGTATGAAACCCAGTTCTTGAAGGTGTCTGCTTCTCGGAAGCCAAGGAACCGAGGCGCAAGACTTGCGGTTCGCCTCAGCCGCGCCATTGCTCGCTCGCTTTTCACTCGTTGCCAGTTCGGTTTATAGCCCGCAGGCTCGACAGATGCAGTGAGTCCGTTGCTTGTGCCGGTGAAACGCGCTGACGCTGGAGCAACCAGCTTTGAGTTCCAACAAGACCAGGGTAGCCTGTGAAATGAAGCATGAAAGAGCACAGTTTTGGCCATGCGCCTTTGAGAATTCAGGCACAAAGCGGCATGTGTAGAACATGCACGGACTTGCAACAAGTCTGGCCCTACTTACTCAGAAGTCCCTTCGAACTCTGAGCAAAGTGAAAATGCCTACACGGCAAAGCCATTCACAGAAAGCTCCATGTCCTGAAAGTTTTGAATGTCTTGGAGGTCGTCCTTAAGTGCCTTTGGCTCTGCCTCATCCTTGGGCACTGCTTCAGGCACTATCTCCGACCCCATGCAAGCACGCAGCATTCTTGCTATGAGCGCCAGCAAACATGGCAAGCCAACAAGCGCGAAGAAGCCACCTACGAGAGTGATCATGACAGCCAGAAGGGCGAAAATGCGGAATGCCTGGGCAGAGCCGAAACCCAACATGGCCACCCCAAGGAAGGCCGTGCAACATCCCTGCAGCACGTCAAAGCTGCAGGCCTCCAGGGAATGCCGCATGCGCTTGTCCCAAGGCGTTCCTGGAGCGACGCCGTGGTCCGCGAAGTGAACGATGTGGCAGCTGTAGTCCACACAAAACCCGATGGCCATAACGCACACGCAGTATGAAATGACGTTGCAGGTGATGTTGCAGGCCCACATGAATCCAAACAAGACGCAGGTCACGGCCATGACGTTACCTACCGCCAGGAAAGCCAGGTGAACCGGCATAGTGATCAGCACTGCCAGGAAGACTCCGAGGAATGCAAAGCCAGCCGTACTAAAGGTCTTCTCCTTGATGATGCGGTAACGGGCTGTTTGGGCGGGGAAACTCAGGTGGTATGGAATGGCCCTCAGCTCCGGAAACCCATCTTTCACCTGCCTGATGATGTTGAGCGCTTGTTCGCTGCGCTTTTCCGAGTCCGTAGGCTGCCAAATGAATGCGCGACATCTGGCCGCTTGCAGATGGTCTGCTATGCCGCCCCTGGCATCCCGCGCACTAGCCGTGCCTGTGACTGTATCATTCAAGTACGTAAGTATTGCTGTGTCCACCTCACACATCGATGCCGAACTGCTCAACATGCTGACCGCTGAATGGAGCCAGCAACTCACTGGCAATGCAAGATCTGACCTGTTGTTCAGTGTGGCAACCAACTCAGACATGCGACTCCTGTAGGAAGCATCAAGAACCTTTGGCGCATCAAAGACCAGACCAAGCTCCATGGGCACGCTGCCAACAAATGAGTTCTCAACATCCTCCAAGTATGCATGCACTTTGGATGAGTCCGTCACGAAGTAGGTGTCTGGCATTCCTTTGCCAACCTGCAGCCCGAAGTAAATGGCAAGAATCGTCAGCACCAACCACACTGAGGCTCCGCAGATTTGGAAGGGCAGGCTGTTCTCTACTGCGTAACCTAGCTTGGAATTCATGACATTCCTGAGTTTCCGTCCACAGCCCATGACCATTCTGGCTTGCACGGCCAAGCCAGACGTGGGCTCCTCGCGCGCGGTCATGTTGCGCTGGCTCAAACAGATCATTGCCGGGAACATGACCAGCATGCCCATCCAATTCAATAGAAGAACCATGACAAGGCCGATGTTGAAGGACAAGAAGCCCGGAAGGTCCGTGCTGGTGGCAGCCGCAATGGTGAAAGCACACACCGATGTCAAGGTCGTCGTAGTTGCTGCCATGCCTCCGCGGGGCAGGGCTCTCACCAGGACCTCTTCCATGTCCTTCACATCCGGCCCCACCGCGTTCACCGAGGAGACCATCAGGAAAATGACGTCCACGCCCACAGCGAGACCCAAGAATGGAACCATGGTCCCCAAAACGCTCATACCTTGCCCGAAGTAGCCCAGAAGACCAAAGCTGGACAAACCGGACAAGCCCGGAATACAAGTTGCTCCCAAAAGAAGCTTGACTTGGGAGTTCCCCGGGATCCGGGTGTCCGTTCCCAACATGAGAACCACATATCCCGACATGAGAAGAAGAGTGAGAGCAATGAGCGGAACATTATCCATGCCAATCTGTACGCTCTCCATTGCGATCGTTGAAGAGCTGAACTGGTTGATTCTCACGACTGTATTCTCAGGGTAGCCATTGTTGTTGATATCTTTTGCCGCCTGCTTCTCAAAGAGAACGCCATCCTCCGTGTTCATCACGGTGAAGGTGGACATGGCGGCAGTACTGGCCAAGAGCCACTGGCTCAACAACAACTCTGTGGCCCCAGGTCCGGGAAAGGTGAGCGGCGAAGCGATGAGAAGCGGCAAGCTGGCCCTTTGCTCCATGCCCATCGCGGCAATCATCCAGGAAGCCACGTTCGCCAGGCTGGAGTTCTGCAAACCTTCCAGCTCCGAAAGCCTCGCTGCATCCCCGAGGAGCGTTGATACAGCGCTTCCGGCCAGGCATGGTGACCCGGAGGTGAACCTCTCGCACACGTCACCAAAACCCAACTGCCGTCCAGCCACGGACTCGAAGCGCATCGTGTCCTTGATGTGCACCTCCGCCTTGTGCATCTGCCGCAGCACATCAAATGACACCAGGCTATGTCCATTTGATGGCTTAGCGATGAAGGCAACCGTTCGGGTGTCTGGAAACATACTTGTTGCACGCATGTAGTCCCTGTACTCCTCAGTCGTCGTGAAAGTAAATGTCTCCAGGAAATTCGTCATGATCTTGATGAAGCCGAACATGTTCTCTGAACCATCCAACAGCAACATTCCCGGGATGCAGGCCAGAAAAACAGCGAGGCACAGCAGAATGGTGAACACAGGGCGTCGTGCAATCACGCGCGCGAGGCGGCTGAACAGGTTCTCCTGGGCCTTGCCGACAACGTTTGACGCTGCAGACAGGGTTCGCTCAATTTGGAGCGCCCGGCTTGACCGAGACCTTGACACGGACGTCTCCTCATGGCCAGCGTCCATCTCTAGCGAGAGCCTACACGAGCCTTGAGCTACGTGCTTGCCGGCAATGGAATGTTTCACATGTCCATGTGCGGCTGTTAAGTCTTCATCTCGCATCGCAGTTTTATGGGTGAAGTAAGCATTTTTTCAGAAGTATGCACTCGCGAAAGTCGCACCACACCTGAGCAAACACGAATCGAGCCTCGCAGGTGACGAAGTATGTCCTGCATTGAGCGTTAGTGCATTGCTCCAGTAACAGTCCTGGAGGGTCGTGGAAAGGGACGTGCCCAGGTGTTCCATCCGGCGGCCTGTTTTGATCGTTGCTGCACCGTCATGCGACACCCGCGCTCAAAGCGAACACACATTGATGCGCGCAATCCCAAGAATGTCCACTACCCAAAAGCCATTACCGCAAGGAAAACGGTGGGTGTGAACTGGGGGTACTGGATTGGGCTAAAAGCTCGACTGGGCGAGCCAGGCACTCGACATCCCACGAATATCAAGGCTGCCATGAATCCAAACGTCCATGCGTAAGTTCGCGCTAGGTGTGAGCAAGGTGGGCCCTTTTCGGTCGATCTGAAAGGGATTCCAACGGAGAATCAATTTGATTGACCAGATCTTCCCCGTGATGTGTTCAGCGCGTGTTTACCAATCTGTTTTTTCCCGCAGATGGCTTTTGGTTCCAACAGAACTCCCCCTTCCCCCCCCCCCCTTAAAAAAACAAAAGAACCAACAGAAACAGAATATCCCCCCAAAAATAATCAAACCCAAAAAGAGAACCAGAAGATCAAACCATCCGACAACCTTGCGTTACTCCATGCCGTCGCCACGAGAGAGCGGTGTCCTCCAGGCGAATCTCGAGACATCCGCGCCTGGCGCAGCGAAGCGCGAGCGGAGCGGCCTTTTTATTGTTTTGTTCTATTTCGAACAATGGCCTGGCTCCAGAAATGGACAAGTTTTACCAAAACAACGGCCATGTGCAATGATCACGCCTCCAACTCAGTTGGTAAATGCGAGTTTCAATTTCAATTTGGCCGAAATTAGGGACCGAGCTCTGACACCATCTGATACTCGTACTGTGCGAAAGCGACAATCCAGCCTCCAGATGTTGTGGCTAAACGCTGCTCTCCATACTTCACCCTATCGGAAAAGCGCGTCATCAAACTGGTTTGCCAGTACATTTCAATTCACCACATCTTGCCCCACGTGTGCCTGTTGTTTTCAGGGTATCGTTTTGGGGTGGTTTTAAAAAGGTTTCACACAATGCAGGAGTGACAATCCCTCCAAAAGTGCAGAATGCTTCAAGGGAACTCCCTTTCTTTGGAACAACGAAAGCACAACTTGTTTGGACACCCTTTTCATCTGATTGCATCTGATTGCCATCCTCAATGGGTGATTGACCACGCGTTTGACCATGCACATGGCCCCACCCCCGGGTGGAGAATTGGCAACGAACTCAAGTGGCAGACATGAATCCCCACCGAATTTGCGCCAAAAAAGGTTGCGGGACATGGTTGCATGTGATTCTACCGTAAAACGCGAAGAAACAGAAATAGGCTTCCTTGGAGCCACAGCATCATGGGATCGAATTGAGCTCCAGGAGTCACCTGCCCTTTTGCTCTCCTGTCGAAGCTGAATGGCACGCGTGTGCAACTATGTTTGAACTGGGGCTTGAGCTTTTCCGCGAGCACATGAAAACCGCAGAACATGTTTGGGGCCAGTAGCAACAGGGAACATGGTCATCAGAACGGTGCCGAAATGCGCCCGGGGCGGGGGATGTTTTAATACCCATACCATAGCACCTTTTGCGCTTGAGTTCAAGAGCGGGTTATCGAGCCACACAACTAAATGCGTCTCAAAATAACCCGCGCAAAAAAGCGCCACCAAAATTACATCACGCATTCGGCGCACGGGATCCTTGCAAAGAGAAAGCGCGCCTTCGCTGGTTCACGTGCTCGACACGCGCGATCCTCACACATCGTCGCGTCCGCGACGACTAAACATAGAACGAGCAGTCCACAGCGGGCCACGATGAAAAGCGCACTGGAGCCTCGTTCATGAGACACGCGCGATCCGCGCGCGGAGGGTTGTGCGGGCCTCAACAAAGCGCATGCGCGACCACGTGTTCTCCTCTTCGACACGCTCAACCCACGCAAGGTGTCTCGGGGCACAAACCAAATCCTTATGGGTCTCGCGACGTGCGCCGCCCGAGCAGATGGCTGAATTTTCACACAAGTATACGGTGTGCCTGGTGTTGGCCTGTGTGGAGCTGTGCAACATGTTCCATACACGTGCCCATCTTGAAAAAGGGCCGCGCCTTTGCTGAAGAACCCTTTGCCGTATTTCCGAGAACTTGGTCATTCCGAGAACACTGCGGTGGGGCCTTGCCTCCAGGGAGCTTCTCTCCTTTGCGCCGAAGCGTGGCACCTGGCGAAAAGCTTCGGCCATCTAGAAACTGATTGAACAACGCACCGATTGACCAATGGGCAGGCGCTTGAGCTGGCAAGGGCATCCCAAAACGACCAACCATCGCAAGGAAAAAGCAAAAAGCGGCTCCGCGGGAAAGAAATAACATCGGAGTGTAGCCGGAGTGAAACCGGACGGACCTGGCCGACAGGACAGGACTGGATGGAGAACACCCTGTGTTGGGAGGGTAAGGAAGCTGTCCATGTCCAGGCTATCTTAACCTCCCATTTGCTGAAGCCCGCTGCAAAAAGCGAAAATCTATGTCCAGTAGTGATAAATGCCCTTTAAAACCAGCAGAGAAAAAACGACAAACCTATTCCGAAGCAAATGGACGCCTCCGACCGGCCGGGCCCTGAAAACTCAGCGCCAGCTTCAGCGTCTTTTTCGCGGCGAGTCCGTCGGGCGTGCGGCTGGGCCAACCCATTGGGCCCATCCAAAGGCTCTCCAGAACGGAAAGAACCCCAAAGACACGCAAAAGGGGGGTCCAACTCCCAAATGGAGCTTCCTCTGATGGGATTCTGGAGCTTCCTCTAGAAATGGGATTCTGGCGGTTCCATGTGAATCTGGATCCATGCTAATCTGTGGGACCCTCATTGCAATCACGGAACTGGACAGGGGACACTCCAAAAAGGCGCGAACCCCGAAATGATTCAAACCTATCTCGTCTCCTCTTGCCTCCTTTCGGCTCTCGAAGCCAAATTGCTCCCTGGCCAGCTCTGTCAGCTGAGCTCGACGAGCTTTCTGAACCGCACGGGCGCCCGAAAGGGCCACGAGCATCACGTGGTCTCCCCGGAAGTTTGGAGCGAGCCGTCTCCCCGACTCGGCGGCTTTTTTTCGGGATCCCGTCGTCCAGGCCGGCGGCATGTGTAGCGTAGCGGCGCACAAAGACAAGCAGCGCGGTGAGCCAAATCTCTGGTCCGGTCCGTAGCCAGTTCAGTCGTCCTGGGCAAAGTTGGTCGCAGACCAGGACGCAAGTACCAGCTCGGTTTCAAGGGACACCAAAAGGACGACCGCCATTTTGGGGCTCATGGATTACGAATGACTAGTAAGAAACACTTTGAGAGACATATCCTGCCGCTGCAATAATACATGCAGCAGTATTCACAGCATCTAGTGCAACTACCATGTTTCACTTTCGGGTTTGCCTCAAAATAGGGGGGCAGGGGACCCCCTATGAAATGCTTGGCTTCCTTTGAACACCCATTTTGACCCGTCCTCGACTTCCTCGGCTTCGTCTTTGTAGCTCAACACTCTCAACGCCTCGAGGAGATGGTCTCGGGCTGACGTGGAGGGCTCCACAAAACACCAAATCCGGCGTTTGCCGTTGACCTGCGCCAACGTTGCATCGACATCACTGGGAATTTCAGATCTTCCATTTAAAAGTTGCTCAACCACTGGTGGGCTTCAAGACACTTGCCACTTTCGGAGGTCCACGATAAAACAAAAGTGCAGGACCCCTGTTGGATGTCTTGGACTCCACACCCAGTTCTAAGGTCCAACTGACGTCCTGCTGTGGTCTCCATAAAGGGCTCCTGCAGCCCCGCCCGGCGAACCATTCTCTTAAAAAAAAGAAAAGAAAACCCGCGGGGGGTGAATCCATACTATGGGTGGGCTCAAAAATTGCGGCTCCAAAATATGGAACCCTGGTAAATGGAAAGGTAGACTAAAACCAGCCGCTTGCTCCAGCTGTTTCATTGTGAGCCACACACATGTAGGAATCCCCGTCCCAGCAGTGTCATGCAGTTAATCCTGATAAAGCAGCATCCTTCAGGCTTCCTGCGGTGGAAACTCCACTCCACTCGAATCGACGCGAGGCGCGGAACCGCGCGACTCAAACCTCGCAGTGGACAGCCACGCAGTGGTGGCGCTCCCCGTGCTCCAACTCCAAGAAGCCTCGCTGCTCACGGACTTGGCGGTCGTCTTGGGCCAAGCTGGCGCTCAGAGTGGCCAGACGACAGCCCTGGAGCGCTGGAGCCGGAGATCTAAGGCGCCCCCCTCCCCCCCCCCCCAAATGGCGGGTTTTTCCTTGGTTCCCCAACCCCAAAATGGGTACCCTCCAAAAGACACAACCCATGAAAAGAACAGGATGACAATCGCAACCAACGGCAACTAGTGACAAATCCACGCTTGGACCATGCAGATTCAAAGTGGAAGAAGGCCTTGGTGGGGATCTTTTTTCCGTTGCCATTCCCTACATTCGGACCCAATTGTGGTTAGACAAGTATGAACAAGCAAGGAAGTGCCGAAACATGAAAAGCACGAGAACACCCTAAAATAATAATCTGAGTCAAAGGTGAAAGAAATAGTAGGTGCCACTGGATTGGCGAAAGGTGTTAACATCAGGATTGCCCTGGGTGTGGCTCAACAAATCTGGAGCTGGGGTTACGCAGGTTTGGTCTTTTTCCTTTACCATCTTGTGCACCGTTATTTAAGCCACAGCCCCATGGTTACTTGCTGCAGCGGCCTGTAGTGAGAACCAAGGATGGTCAGCCTCTGGTTCATAGGGGGCCCCATCTAAGGGATGCCCCCTGTGGCAGGTTGATTATTTCGGTTGACCTTACGTTATCGCCAGGAATATAACTTCCAGATTTCGTGGGTTCTCCAACCACAAAACGCCTCCCTCTTTGCTTCTCTTGAAAAGGCCGTGCCTTTGGTTCTTTTCATTTTAATCCTTGACAAGGATACTCAGCCTCAAGAAACGACACACCCAGCTCGTGGTTTCTCTTTCTTTTCCCTTTAAACCCACCCCCACAGGGTATCCTCGAAAACAAAGGCCCGCCCCAGCTCAGTCTCGTCCTGGGTACGGACGCCTTCGTCCAAGGTCTGCTTCAGAGTGAGGTTCTGCAGCGGAGCGTCCAGGTGTAGCGACCCGCTGCTCTTGTCCCCTGCGTCCAGATTC